TCATGACATCGAAAGATAAAGTGGACCCATGACATCGATCAAACGTCCAATAGAGGACCAATTATCATACCAATATATCAGTCTAAAGGGATAAAGCAGATCCGACGAAAGATAACTCACACCGGTTGATTTGGAGTACGGCGGATGGTGGAAAGAAGCAAGGATTGGGAAAATCTGAACCGGTGGAGGGTCGGGAGGAGTGGGCAGCTTTGGCGGTGGTGAAGGCTCCTGCAGTGCCGGAGGAAACAGATCTGGTGGCTCCGGATGATGGGAGGTCGAAGCTGGACTCTCCATCTTCACACTGTGAGGGCAAGCTTTGATTTTGAGAGAGAGAGGCCTCACTGGCGGTGTTGGCCCAGTCAATAGAGGGAGAGAACAAGACGAGAGTCGCGGTCTTCGAGCTTGCACAAGAATATCACCCCATGGTGAGATGGTTCTTCGGGTAAGCCCAACTGAGATCCCGAGAATGAGAAGCATGGCTTCTCAAAAGACAAGTCCGGCGGAGGAGATCAATTCTATGATCGGAGCTTGAAGATGAAATATCGCCTTAGGTCTTGATCCAGAGACAAAACTCTCTAGGGCGAACTTAGTAGTCTTTTTAGCTTTACTTTTGCAATGTTGTAATGGATAGTTCATTACATCCTCTTTAAAAGCAATCCACTATAGGAGACTTATCCATAGGCTAATCTCCCCATCACCTCGTCTTAAACGATTACGCTCTCTCCCATCAACAAGGATATCTTCATTATCAGAATAACTTTCGCTATCCGGATAGACATCATGAGGAATAGGAAGTTCATCCATAATCTGAGCTACACATTCTTCAATTTCGTTCTCAAATCTCTCTATTAGATCTTTGTGGGAGTCGAAACTAACACAATTAGATTTGTAAGGGTTTCGAAAAGAAGCAGATATTTCTTAGTTAAGCTACGAGAGAAAACGATGAGCAAAGGAAAGTTTGTTATTGTTGTGTATGCTTTTGTCAACAAAGTTACGGATACCTTTACAAGGGTTTTTACATCAACTATATATAACGTTCCTAAGTCGGCTAAGTTTCCTAAGTCTTCGCGGATTCTCTCTTCGCCTATATCGGTTTCGCCAAAGTGGGCTTCGTGGCTGGACTGGGCTTGCTGTCTTAATTGGTCCAGAGGCGAAGCCCAACCCAGTTGATTGTCACCGCCATTTCGTGGGTGTCGAGAGGTCATCGACTCGAGTCCTCTTCGTGCCGCCGTAGACATCGGTCATCGGGTCCGTCGCCATCGGGTCCAACGTCATCGGATCTTGGGTGACTTCGTTGCTTGCCCCGGAGATGTGACCCGAGGTGAATAGTGTCCCGAAGTGAATAGTGACCCGAGGTGAATAGTGACCCGAAGTGAATAGTGACCCGAAGTGAATAGTGACCCGAGGTGAATAGTGAAGTGAACAGTGACCCGAGATGAACAGTGACGCCGATGTGAACAGTGACGCCGATGTGAACAGTGACGCCGATGTCATCATCGTCGTCGGCGCTTATCGAGAGATCATCGGTGCCATTCCACGTCGGGTCCTCGGTGATGGTCGTTGGTGGATCCAAGCGACCTAAGGCGATCGCTTGCTCTATCCTGCGAGATGACTTAGGGGCCGTATTGTCTTAGGCGTCAAGAGTCTTGGNTNGNTCAAGATTTGAACNCTGACGTTGAGCGGGTGAAATCCGACCCCAACAGTTAGCCCCCCATCTCGGTCGTGTTAGAGATAACAGTACCGAGTTAAAGACCTACTAGATATCAGTGTTATCGTTCAAAGCCATGATGTTACTGCTGGCATGATACTGTTGGCTCGGCCCGCTCGTACTGTGGTAGATGATAGTTTTTATGTTGGAGATTTTAAGACTCCGTTCCTCATAGAAGATTTCATGACTTCTTGGTTCACTTGCTGAAACCGACTGCGTTGCGACGGAAAAATGATTTTCGGGAGTGAAAAATATCGTTGATGAGGGCGATACCCGCTAATGAGATTGGGGAGAAAAAAAATTCCATTTTTTTTTTGTTAAGAGACAAGG